TGCATTAACTAATAATAGAAAAATTAATTTATTATAATAAATTAATATTGTGATATGCTGAATTGGTTTTTTATGTTAGATTATTTAATAATTGTTTAAAAACATTAAATTTGTATATACATAAAATAATTTTGCCTAAAACAAGGGGGGGGGGGTTCTCGTGTTGTGCTTTAGATTTTAGCACTCCCATAAATTTTACCCTAGTTGCGCCCATGACTGTATGACTGTAATTTTTAAATGGTCTATGTAAAGGTAAACCATAAACAAATGTATATATTTGTGTGAGGAAATATGTTTTGTTATTTGTGAGTTCGATGAGCAATAATGCTACTCTTTACTATACTTACCAGTTACCAAATTTTGTATAGCATCTGTTTCAATGTCACTTTATAAGTATTAAAATTAGAGTATTCAAGATATTTTTATTATATTTGAAAATTATGTGTATGGTACAAAAAACTGAGTATTGAATTTATAAAAATGTAAATTGAGCTAGTTCTTTAATTTTCATTATTCCAATATTATATTAATTGGCGTGATATTAATTAATTTTGATATTTTAGTGTATTTTTTATAATTCTTATTGGATAAACATTAAACCGTGCAGGTCATGCAATTGCGACATAGTATAATTTGACATCATAAATTTATTGTGTTATAAATTATAATATTACAATACAATCATTCATTTTAGATGTTTCTTTTTTTTTTTATTAAACAATTTTGGAAAAACTTTAAATCTTTAAAACTTGGTAAGCCAAGTAAAATGTATACTTTTATTATCTGGTGTAAAGGTTAACACACCTATAAGGTAAACGAGTAAAACTGGTGAAATAATATTACTGTTAAGAAATTATAAATAGATTTTATATTTATCATAAATTGTACTAAATAATTAATTAATTGCATTAGGTGGAAGATTTTATTACATATTCTAATAAATATACCAATATATATACCAAAGATGATGAAACAAATATTGTGAACGATAATATTGGGAAAACGTGTTATTTTTATTTTGTTTCGGTTTGCACATCGACAACGGACAATCCTATTGTGAAGACTTTTACTTATTGTCCGTTTTAATTTTGATAAGATACCCATTAAATTTACATACCTTAGCATTCTGTTTTTTGTAGGAAAATAATGGTTATGCTATACAATTTGATTTAAAATTTCCGGAGAATTCTAAAAATTTAACCTTGGTTGAAAAATTGGAATTAATACAATTTACCTTTGTCAACCTAAGTTGTTAGAAAATGTAACATGGTCTCATCACAGAATACATAATTGAACTGTTGGTTCTATGTCAACTTATTCGCAAACTAAATATTTACACCCCCTTACTGCATGGATTATGGTTGAAACAACTATTCAAAAAATAGATAAAATTAATTTTAAATAAAAACACATAATAGACCTACAATGTTAATTAACAGAAATAGGTAATCATACGCAATTTATCATAATGTATACAGCTTAGTTAAGTGACCACTTCGATAAAAAATGTATATTTTTAAATAACTATCAAATAATACATGTTTGGTGCAATTATTAATGAGTTGGTACGGGGATTCGATACCGACCTGTTTTAAGAAGTTGAGTATATGCTAAATATAAAGACGTTCATTAATGTGAGTGATCATACAATACATACCACCACAGTGTCGTGTACATGCGAATACGAGTATAACTCACTAAAAATCGATAAGGAATTAGTTATAGTGAATAAAAACTATTACCATAATAATAATAATTTATTACTATTAATTTTGTTAACAAATAATGTGTAGAGTAATGCGACAATGTGAACAAAATATGATTGCAAAACACCGATTACTTGGCGATTACTGGGTTTTATACCGTGTAATATTTTTATTTCAAAACGGGCAGGTTGTCGTTTCGAAAAAAAAAACTGGACGTTGGAAATTTACGCAGTGATATTCACATTAGTATAGTACTATAATATTCCATCCTGGTAGTCTTGGGTTTGATCCCCGAATACTATATATTTTTTTTTATTTTTAACATTTATCTTATTAAAATATAAAGAGACAATGCGTTTTTCGTTACTACCGCTAACCGTAAAAACGTCTGGACTAATAAATAATATACATACATATTTATATATTTTATAAAAAATAAAAATCATTGAAAAACTATTATTTTACTCAAAAATGTATACACGTATATAATTCCAATCATAAACCTGTCCTAAGTGGAAGTCTTCGGTGAAGTCGCGAATCTGTTATTTCCGGAAGCAAACTTTCCATTTAAAACTTTGTCTGCTTGGGTCTTGATTAGTTGTTCATTTTTTAAAACGTACGCGTTTTGAAAATACAAAATTATAGGACAGAGCAAACGAATAAGTTATAATTGGTATAACATTATAACACAGTATCAGGGCCGGAGTGGCCGGTCTGGAAATGAGAGTTTTCCAGATTGCCTGGACCACATTATGGCCTGGTGACCTGATCATTTTATGTAGGTAACATAATTCTTACTCGTATTATTTAAAAGTGTAGTAAACATATTTTCTATTAAGTGTTAAGATAGACTATTCAAATATTGTACCGTTGTCAATGTAAATATAATTATAAATAAAAATTATGATAAACCGTTGGATACAAAATGAAAAAAATATTACATAAGTATAAACTTTAATTTAAGGGGATCGGTGGCGGACAGTTATTTTGGCCAAAACATCCAATTTTCTTTCCATCATACTGATCGATGTAGTAACGCGATAACATTTTTGAAAACTAATCTGAATTCGTTATAAAGTCTACTAGAGATCGGTCAGTCTGTTTTCCCCAATTTCACCCCCCCCCCCCCCCCCCTAACACCTAAAAATTTAGTTTGAATATTTTGAAATTTCGGCATTTTCAAACGTTGATTATTTGGAATATAAATCAGAAATCTTAGAATGTGAACTGACCGATCTCGAGTAGACATTATAACGAATTCGGATTAGTTTTCAAAAATGTTATCGCATTATTGGATCGATCGGTACGATGGACCAAAAATACATAGTTTTAGTAAAAAAAAAAAAAAACACACGTTCTGGATCGTTCATGCGCGCGACAGTGCGGCAGTGACTTGTACCGCGCGTGCCGCGCGCGGAAGAGTTCCTCGGCCACTACCTATACCGCATGCCGAGGTCTGCGATAGATGGATTGTAAATCGTAATTATACTATTCTAGGTATTACTGCGGTACAATTATTAAATGCAAAATAGCACATTTAATAGCATGCGTACATTGATAATTTGGTACGAATGAAATATAATATAATAATATAACGTGAAAATATGAAATATTGTTCATTTGAGCTTCGTCTCACGTCATCGCTACACTCGGACTTGGTAAACTAGTGTAAAATAGTAGGATTTTTACGCACTTTTTAGTCACTTAGATTTTGTTTTTATAAAACGTGATTAGTTTTATTTATAATGATTTGGTAAAATGGGAAATAAAAAACAAAAACGTATCCAAAGTGAAAAAAAAATAGAGGAAATGTTTCATCACTTTTAAATTGGCAAACTCATCGCGTACAAAAAACAGTAAGTGATGTACAGCGGTAACGTCGTATAAATGTGGACCAAAATATATTAGTAATTTACATAAACAAATTACGAATACTAGCCCTGGATTATTTACAAAACAATGTATAAAAAGAGTAGAAAGATCAAAATTAAAATTAAAATGTACACGTTTAAATTTCGAAAGGTATTATATAATAATTTAAATTTGATTATATTAAACAGATGAGGAGGGCTAAATCTATAAATAACTAGTTCTTATATAGCTTATATATGTATAGGTACTCTTAGATTTGTAAATTGTTATATTATTATTATATACCTAATAATATAATATAATAGTATTTTTTTTTTTAATTTTTATTTAATTATGCAGTGAATAATATCGTATTCTCATTTTTTAAAAAATAATTCTAACCATTTTATTGCTTAAAAACAAGTAATAATAATACATTATATTATATTCAACTGATTTTTTTTTTTAATTATAAACTATAAGAACATTTCCAAAGAGAACAAAAATTATTGACTGTAAATGGAGCTGTAAATGAATTAGAGTGTACAATAACTGATATGCCACATGATAAATATTTAAAAGAGGAAAAAATATCTTTAAATAATTTAAAGTNTACTATTTCCAAGTACAAGGATAACTTAATATTACAAAACGAAAATGGTGCTATTTTCTAGTGTGGACGCCCAAGGGTAACTTATACTTTTTACTTCATTTTTTATTTCAAATCAACATAATCTAATATTTTATATTTTTTTATAGGTTTTGTAGCTGGTAAAATATTAAGAGACGAAGAATTTTGGAAAAATAATATTGAACCACAAATGCACAACATTTTATATGGAATCTTTAGTCCCAGAAATTATAGACTCGAGATTTGATCGAGGATTACCTATAAGATCTGGTTTACCGGAACCATAATATTTGTATATTTATTTTTTTAATATACTCTCTAAATTAATACATACAACGTGTGTTATTATAATATATTATCCTTTACACCTACCTAAAATAAATAGAAAACTCTTGTTTTTATAATAAATACATTTTAAAATTATTAAAAATTAAATTGTGAAGGTTTTTGCAGTGAAGCCAAAAATATGTGTGTAGAATAGACGTCGAACAATAATAATATGTTCTATGATAATATAGAACGTAGAAGACAGCGTATGCGGGTATTTACGTAATTATTATTACCGTGTACCACTATACAGTGTTGTTACGGTTATTTGTCAATTAGCAGATAAGATGTAGAGAGGGTAGTACCTGGTGTAGGACAGAGACCCGTGCACACGCTAATAATCATTTACTACGCACACAGTCACAAATGACTCACGCACGCACTTTAAATATTGCCGTACCTAACTCCTTAAACATACACCGCCACCGGACCCCTTAGGCAAAAACAAAACTGCTATCATTGTAAACCGGAGCAAAATTACTGGTAGAAAAGTTGTTCTCGGGAAAAAAAAATAAATTTTTGTAAAACCATGTGCTTCTTTGCTCCACTCAGAATCTAAAAGTAAAATGACCTTTCTTTTCACCGACTAATAATATTACGCTATAATTCGAGAGAGATTTTACGAAAGAAAAGACGGAAAAGACTGTATACGCTCCATAAAACCCGACCCCTTCCCCCCCCCAAGTGGTTAAGTGTATAAAACTGGAGGATAATTATTTTTGCTTACTTATGTTATGAAAAATGTTTTAAGTTAAAACATCGATGGTTTCATCGAAAATCCGATGTATCGTGTTTAAAATTTCAATTTTCGATACATCAAAATGTTGAATCTGTATTCAAAAATGCTTACCCATCTCTACAGAGTTCTTGACAGAGTGATTGTCCTAAGGATTTCTTGAGCAAGAGAGGCGTTCAAGGCGATACGAAAAACAGTTAGTTTTCATAATCTATGACGTTTTCGCGTCGAGACCGATGTAATATGATCTACTAATAATTATCTATACTTTACTATATATATTTTTTTTTTATATTAAAAAGAGGAAATATTTGTAGTTACGAATGTTTGTACTACTGGACCGATTTCAAAAAATCGTTCGCCATTAGAATGCTACATTATCCCCGAGTAACATAGGCTATATATTTATTACTAGAAAAAAATAGGGATCCCAACGAAAACTGCAATAATTAGGTTTTTAGGTATTTTTGTTAATTGTTAATTTTTTTTATTTTTTGTTTATTCGTGGGTTATCTTATTAATATGGATGATAATTTGGCTGTCGTGGACAGGTATTATTATTATTATTATTATTACTATTATTTACACTATTATTTAGCATTAGCAAAGCATGTACACTGTTTCTTCTCATTTTCTCTGATTTAAAAGAAAAAAAAAAAAAAAAACTTCCAAACAATAAGCCTAGAAACAAAAGGTCGCAACTATCTAAACACAGTTCCCAACCGAGATTAGCGAAAGCACGTTGAATTGGAGAATCGTCTTCTGAAAATTCAGATCGTCTCGCAAGTCAGAGAGAGTACGCGTCGCAATTGCCCGCCAGAGAATCTTGCGCCGAACGCTCGCAGCCCCTTGCTGAAAATAGAGCTCACGCGTGCACGGCAACGATCGAGCGCCGAACCCTCGCGGCGGTTAATGGCACGCGGAGAAAGACGACAGTCGTTAACAACTAGGGCGCGCAACAGGATTTCAGCTCGTACTGGTGGATCGGCATTCAGTTGAATTACGGATAACCGTAGTGACGCGGACGAAATGAAAGTACCCGACCCGTTTTCTCTCGTTCGGTATACTGTTACGGGCAAAGCGATACGGGAATGAATGTAAAAAAGAATGAAAAATCGGCACGGGAAACGCCCGGGCGCAGGACGGCGAGTAAATTATATTGATAAAAACGCTGTCGATAAACAAATATACGCATGGTCTGCAACAACGTCGGCGCGGCGGCGGTGCCGCCAAACACGCTGACGGACGCGTGCGAATCTTCGTGTTCTCATCCGTGTTACGATAATTCGATTAATAAAAAATATAATATTAATCTCTCTCAAATAACGGATGCCCCGTTTTATTTATTAAATTACTATCAACTAAATTTTTTTTTTTTTTTTTATACAGGGAATACCAAGTACTCGGCCACCTTGAATCTTTTAGTCATACCGTTATGATACTATGGGTAATTTTACACAGACGTCTAATGTGAACATCGCCATTACAATTTTAAGAAACGAATGTCTGTGTAACATTTTTCAGCGAATTGTATTTCACACTGCATAGGTACAATGCAATTATATCTTTAATAAATACTTAATAATTGTTAAATTGAGTATCCATTAAAAGCATTCAAAGTTAATTTTGTGCTTAACTCGTCATCAAGTTATTTGGCGAGTATAAAATAATCATGTTTCCCATTTTAAGAACGAAACCGAGATTAAGTGTCCAGGATTTCAAGCATCCTCGTAAATTGTGTAGTATATGAATTTAACAATTACATGTCGTGCATATTGTATTATATATTGTGTATTAACAATTATTGTGTATTTTTAAAAAATATTTGTAGGTTGCAGTAGAAACAATATAAATGCAGATGGGATACAATATATGGTGCCTATTATTATTGTACATGTGCAGTGGCGTATATACGGAATTCGATTATGGCTGGAAGGTTACCAGTTTATGAGGGGTGGGGAGGGGGTTACCAAAAATATATTACATCATAGTGTATATAAAATACTTGTTTTATTAAAATTTCGGACACAAAGATAATCTTATAAGAGAAGGCTAAACATCTACAACCCCCCTCCCCCCGGACACCACTGACTATATGTATATGTATTGCTTATAGTTAAAGACCGGATTTAATTGATATTGCAACTTTTTTTCGCAATAAAGATAAATCACATCTGATTAAATATGTAGCAAATATATACTAAAAATATTCTGCCAAATTTAATTTTATAATGCAATTTTTTTCGATTTTCGACGTTTTTAAATCGTAGGCGTTTACCGTTCGTCCGGAATTTCCTAGAAGCCAGGAGAGCCCAACGAGCGTCTATGCATAAATACCACCAATTATATATATATATATGGTGGTAATTAAATTCAACGTAGTAGTACAGCGATTCCTGTGCGTTTACTCGTTGGTACCTTAGTAGCTATTTCTTTGATCGCGCAGTTTGACCGCACAGTGAACGCATTATTCGACGTAATGCCTAAAATAAAATCAACTTTGATAAATACAATTTCGAATTGGATTGCTCCTTACAATGAAAATAAAAAAGCATTTTCATCAGATGTTAAGGTTATATATTGTCTCGTGTGTAACAAATCTGTGTCAACTGAAAAAAATATCTATGAAATCACCGTTGCAAAACAGGTAAGTTTTGTATTTTACGCTCATGCTACACGTAATATACTACATATTATTTCAAAAGAATAAATAAAACAACAGCTTTTGATTATTTCTTAAAATTCGAATAGTAAGAATGTATTTTATGAAGATTCATATAATGCATTTGTTGCTGCAAATATTCCTTTGCATAAGCATCATACGTTAAAATCATTAAAAAAAAAAGTACACTGGCAAATCAATTCCGGACGAAAGCACTTTAAGAAAAAATTTCATACAAATATTTATAAAAGCTTTATGGACCAAATAATTACCGATATTGGAAATAATTACGTTTACATAATTTTTAACGAAACAACCGATCCAAGATTTTGTATAAATAATTTTTTTAATTTCTCATATAATAAATTATATTATTTATGTTTAGGTTTGGCTATTGCAAATTTATTAATTGGTGAATTAGATGGGACGTCTAGTAAATCATATTTAGTTGCACGTAAAGAACTAGAATCCACCAATTATAAACCTACCTGTCAGTTTATTAATTTCTCGTTAAAAATATTCCCTGGTATTGTATAAAAAGTATTACTATTTATTAGTGATGCTGGTACTTATATGATGAAAGTTGCAAAAACATTAAAAATATTTTCCCCGAAATTAATTCATGTTATATGTATGGCGCACACAGTTCTAGAGAATACTCGAGAATTGTATTCCGACATTAATAAATTAACAACGGTAATATATTTAGTATTCATTAAAAATTTAAATACATATGCAATTTATTTCGTATATTTCAGGAAAAAAAGCTTTCCTAAAAGCACCATCGAGAATAAATAAATACAGAAAAGAAATGCCGGGTATACTTGAACCACTCGAACCTATTATTACAAGATGGGGAACATGGTTAAATGCATTTCTATGCAAATAATGTTGAAGAGTTTAAAAAACGTAATTGAAAGTTTAACAGATGATGCTACAAGTGTCGGAAAGCTGAAACAGCTTGCACAAAATAATGTGAAAAAAAATTAAAGAAAAATTTATGTATGTGATTGAAAAAAATGAAGGGTATACAATTTTAAAGTCTTACTATGAAGTCATGTCAGATAAAGCAAATGTTAATCTGGATATAACGCCTAGTTTATTAAATTGTTTTAAATATGCACAAATAACTAGCGAAGACGTAGAACAAAGTTTTTCTTTGTACAAACATATTTTAGGTAATAGAAGATTTAATTTTAATGAAAATAATTTAGAAATGTATCTAGTTATCAATTTTAATTTAAAAAAAAAACATTTGTCTAATTTGTTTTATCTAAATTTTGCATTTGTATAGTATAATTTATTATGCAATATTTACGTATTTTTTGGTGCAATTATATAATTTTAATATGCAATTTTTGTGTGTTTTAAATACAATTTAATCCGGTCTTTACTTATAGTATAATAGGGGTTGTAGGTGGTGGATCTTTTAAGGTGTTGCATGTTGTAATTATAAGATATTGTAACACTTACCAATTTTTTAAATCCAAACATTTTTAAACCAAAATTAGTAAATTGTGCTGGAGAAATGCAAAAACAAGAAAATTATCAGAAATATTGGTATGATAAAACTGCAGGGCCCGAGAAAAAACAATTTACAGAAGGTGAAAAAGTTTATATACATGATAATTTTAAAAAAGAATGGGATGAAGGAGAGATTGTAAAAAAAAACAAAATGGTCTAGGTCATACTATGTGAAAAATGCAAAAGGGAAAGTATTGAGAAGAAATAATTGTTATATAAAAAAGAAATTTAAGATTAAGGACAATTTTATTAATGATGATGTTATGAGTATAAATAAAAAAGAGGATGATGATAGTGAGAAAGATAACGATAAAGATGACAGTAATGAGAATGAAGGTTCTTTGAATCAGACGTTAATCACTGGCAATAATAACAGAAAACAACTAGAGGATAGTAAGAAAAAATAAGTGACAAGGTGTATTAGAACAAGGGCTGGTAGACAAATTAAAAAGCCAAATAAACTTAATTTGTAGAATCTTAAGAAGTAGTAATTAATATTTGTATTGTTTAGTTAGCAAACATCATATTTAAGTATTGTAATTTGTAAGTATATAACATATTGTGTACCTATATTTATTAAGATTCTATATATTATATTCCTAAAGAAGGAGATATTGTAATGATAAGACTATGATAAGATTGTGATAAGCACATACATCACATAAGTTATTAAATATGTTATATAATGTGTCACATCATCTTAAAAGATAATTAAATATAAAACATTGCAAACTATGAATAACATTTTTGCTATGCATATCACAAATTTATGGCTTAATACAATTCATTTAATTTTTGGAAAATTAAAGCGAACTAAAATGTAGGACTTTACAAGTGATTCTAGTATCTAGTAGACAGTTGACATTAGAGAGCACAGTACTCCTAGTGAAATTAGTTCATGACGGTGACAATAAGAATATCATAATAATAAATAGTGGGTATAGCAACTGTTTCGCCCTTCAATTAAAACTAATATTTGTTAACAAATTATAATGATTAATAAAATAATAAAGTAAAACAAAATTATTAAAAATGATTAATACTTATAAAGAAATATAGTAAATAAATATATAAATAAAAAATGTATATATAGAATTAAAAAATAAATAAATGAATGAATATGCCTGAAATATTATGATAAGTGTATTAAAAGACAGGTTTCAAATTAAAAATTCATCATATGACAGTTTAAATGTAAAACACTACTGAATATAAAAAACTAAATGAAGGAATATATAGAAAAACAAAAATTATGCAAATTGGTCGTTTTATATAGAAATAATTTATTTTAATAAGAGAGATTATTTAAAATGGGATATTATTAGACATATATATATTAAAAAATATAAAATATTTGGTTATTATTTATTATCTAAAATGTATTGATATAAGATATTATTTTTAAATTATGTTTTGTACATTTAAAATATTAAAATTATTTTTCTTTTATTCATTGTGTATATGCAATTCTTCTAACACAAAATTCATTTATATGTGATTTTGGGTATTTAATATTTCTAAGTCTGTATTAATATCAAAGCTTATATTATAGTTATTTTCTAAAATATGTTTAGAGAAATTTGAATTAGGAACAGTCTTTTTAAATTTAATTTCAGAAATGTTTTCTTTATATCTTGTTTTAAAATTCCTATTTGTCTTACCTATATAAAATGTATTATAGTTACATTTAAGTTTATATACACCAGCATTTTCAAAAGAAGGAGGATTTTTTGTGAAATTTTTAGTTCTATTGTTTATATGCTCGATTAAATTATTATTAGTCTTAAAAACAATTTTTACATTATTTGTATTATTTTTCAAAATTCGTTAGTTATATTATTTTAATATTTCATACAACAATAGTTAACAAAATTATTTGGTGATTTGTGTATTATTTTTTCTCTAATAAGTTTATTTTTTTTTTTTAATAGAATTTAGATTGAAATCATTTCTATGGGCTATATTATAGATAATATTGAGCTCCTGTTGATAATTATGTTTATTTAATCGAATATGTTCAAGCCTATAGAATTTTGAATTAAAAAATGATATTTGTTGAGAATAAGAGTGATTAGACAAATCATGTAGAATTATAGCATCAGTTTATGAAGGTTTCTTGTAAATACTAAAATCAAATTTGCTCTCTATTATTGAAACTGTAAGATCCAAGAAATTTAAAATTAAATTTCTTAGATTTAATGTTTTTATTTATTTTGTTTAAGTAGTTAACTAAATTTTCTGCTTGTCTATTTGAACATCTTAATAAAATTAATATACTATCAACATTTTTGTAATATGCTTTTATATATGGACTGATTTTGTTGTTAATAATATTTATTTGATTCTTAATTTTGCATGTAAGTTTCAGATAAAAAAGCACTTAAAGGACCACACATAACTAACCTATCTTTTTGCTAATATAGTATATTAATATATTGGAAATAATTTTGATTAATAATTACAATTATTGAATGAATAATTTTTTGCACTTATTTGTATTAAATTTATTACAATGTATAAGTTTATTTTTGAAAAAATTTACTGTTTTATCTTTAGGAATGGATGTAAATACATTTTAACTTAAGAGAAATTATTTTGTAACCTGGCACAATATTAAATAATAAAAACATAAGTGTTTTTTTTATAGAAGTATCAGTATTCATGTATAATTTTTCTTTTATGTGACAGTCTAAGTATTTAGCAAAATTATAAGATGGAGTAGCATTAAAGTTAATGAATGGACTAATTGGATTATCTTGTTTATGCAATTTTATGAATGGCTATAAGTGTGGAGCCTCTATTTTGTAATCAAATTTTAATAATATTTTCTTTTGATTTTAAAGTAAGATTTTTTTTTAATTTGTTATCAGTTTATTAATTATTTTAGTGTAAATTACAGTTGGGTCATATGATAAGTTTTGAACATTATTATTATTATTATTATTTATAAAATCTTAAGTTTTTTTTTATGAGTTTAATTAGTATAAATGGTAATAATAGCATTAGATTTGTCTACCGGAACTATTTCTGAATTATTTGTTTTTCATTTATTCACTATAAAGTTAATAATTAATTGTATTTTATTGTTACACTGTAATATTTTATCAGGCTTAGTAGTTTTTATCGGTGTTGTGTTTATTGAGTTATATCTTGTTTGATTTTGCTTTTCAAAAATTGTATATAATTTACATTTACATTTTGATTGTAATATATCTGATGATGAATTTTTAAATTGGAACATATAATACCTTTATCATAATACTCCAGATGCATTCATTAATATATTTACATATTTATTTACTTTATTTAAATTATAATATATAAATTTGACAGTATTATTATGAGTAGTAGATATTAACAGTAGAAGATTTTAACAGATATATATTCTCTTATAATCCACAAAAAAGTGCTTTAAAATATCAAAAAATGTCTGAATAAAAGCACTTACAAATATTAGCATAATATATACAAATAAAAATAGAACTAAGCCTAATTACATTTTTTTTTTCTTCTTAATGTTATTATTATTATTATGAGAGTCACAGAAATTAAAATATGTCTATAATTTAAAATAAATGAAATGAAAAAAACATTTTAAATCATACAATATAGTAGTAGAATTTCATGGTACACAAAAATAAATGTTAATAAAAATTAGTAAAATTCATTAAATAATAATTAATAATAATTCAATTAAATAGTGTTTTATGTTGTTATTAAATTCGATAACATTTTATACATAAGAAGCTTTCACTGTCTTCAGTTGTAATGTCTTATATAAAAAATCCACATCCATTGCTGACACTGGGTCAACATCATGTGGATGAATTAATTATAAAATAAGATAATCAGTTGTTTTTATAACTATTATTATATATATAATAAGTTATTTTTAATTGTATTGATCAATAAAAATGTTTTATTAATATGTCATACTGTATGTGGAAGGTGTCTTAAGTTAAAACTAAAAATAATTTCACCTTATTAACTAATTATAATGTTATAATAAATATAGGAATAATTAATTTCAAAAACTATAATTTAAATTTACACATATAAAAAAAAACATTGAAACTATAGTAATCTTCCTCTACAATGAACCGATTGGCATTGGCACATCATTACTTTTCCTGGAACACTTCCTACTTCATAACTGTAATCCCATGTAAGTTCTGTTCCAGCTTTTATGTAATGTAATGCAAAGAAGGCCACCCACGGGAACCTTATATCATGAGTATCTACAAATACATTTTGAACAAAAATATTTGGGGAACATGAATGGTTTAAGTACCGTCCAATGTTGCCACTAGTCTTTGCATCCATAATAAAAGCACTTTCATTATTCCCAAAGTACTCCCGCATTGTTTTTTTGGGTACTGAGTTATTTTTTTTATCGAGTTTGTCAGCGTGTTGATATTTTTTTTTCTCAGGTTTGGGCTTCTTTGTGCGTTTTCGCAAACGCGATAAAATGTCTGATGCCACAGGTGGTCTTTCTATATAATACAAAAATATATATATATGTATATTAACAAACATAATATTATAAAATTTAATCTAACTAAACAAAATTGTAGTACTTAGTGTTCACTAAAGGAGATTAAAAAAAAAAAGTTTAATTAGGCAGGATATGCCTGGAGGAAACATGATCCATTTAATAAAAAAGTAATTGAGAAAGACTCAGTAAAAAATATACCATGTACGTAACAATGTAGCCCCATTTTGGATTTTGGGTTTTTCAATACCACCATAACATTTTTGTATTTTCCTGATTACTATGAAAATTGTTTGCTGTCAAACTAGATCTAAAATGTAATATAAATGATTTCTGTGGGCGACTTTTAGAAAAGTAAACTACTAATGGACATTAACAAGTGATGAAAGTGTGTCTTGTTATAGTTTGAATGTGACCCCCCATTAATTAACTTTTCATATCTAAGTTTAAAACAATTTAATTCAATAGCCAATTATTTTAAACTTAATTTTATCAAATGCATCTAATGTTGATATTGCATCCAAACTGATAATTTTCTGTGACTTAGCGTTTTCATTTTCCAATAACTTATCTCAATAATTTTATATTCATAAACAAAATCCTTAAAATGTTAACAAACTTTAAAAATTAATATTTTTAAATCTTTTTGTAACAGCAAAAAAATAAAAAATGCCCTGCAGTACCTTTAAATAGAATAATAATGTTAGTTAATGAGTCCAGGTTGATCTTATTAATTTTTACTATTTTAATTTTTTTATATTATTATTATTACTTACTGTTATTAATTTATTATTATTATTTTAATAGTAAATAGATTTAAGTTCCAATATTTATATATCAAATTTGTTATTGGGTTCTGCTCATTTAAATAGGTAAACAAAGTAAAAATATAAATAAATAAAATCGTTTTTCTAAAATATTGTTAAACAATAAAAGTTACAGGTATTCAAATAATTAAATAGGAACATCTTTAGGTTAATTCCATGAAGGTGGGCGAACATATTTTACTCTTGAATACCACCTCTTTGGTCAACAAAAACTTTAAACCTATATGTGTGATGTCATTTCAACTAATATTAGCTTAGAAAACTGCAGATATATTGTACAAATGCAGTAAAATAAAACAATTTGAAAGTTAGTATTACTTTTTTCATATTAAATAATATAAATAACCTAAAAGGCTGTCTTAGGATAATGGTGAAGGTAGCAGCCACTGTTATCGAAGAGAAGTTGGGAAGGTAGTAAAAGTATTTAGTAGAAGCAGAAGGGAAAATTAATGTATATCTGTACATATCTTATGTATTTATTAATTTGTATAATATATTTAAATAAATTGTAAAAAAAAGACGTCTTAGGATAATAAAGATAGGAAATATAATGTATATCTGTAGAACAATAAATCACTGTTGATCAAATAAGATTCTTAGTGCAGTTTAGTTGATAGTGATGCTTTGTCAACAATTCATATGTCATATTATAGTAAAGTAATTGCATATGCATTATATATTTTCTTCAATAATATTTGTTTAATATTTTACTTATTTCTCCTAGTTTTTCTAGATATTATGAAAACTGCTTGAAAATCAAAAAATGTCTTCCTTAAAGTACCATGTAGACAATATTTCTTTTCAGGAAATGTGCACACTGACACATCAAAGCAAGATTTCTGTTACAAGAAAAACAAATAAACATTATAATAAAACCTATACACTCTTTGCTACAGAATCTAAAATTTAAATTAAATATACATTTCCAATTTTTATTCTAAAACTATATTATTATATTAAATCTTTGCAAATTGATTATTCCCACTTAGTTTTCTGTAATTCTATCTCACCCCTGAGAGAATATTTATTTAAATTTATAAATGAAAAGTGCTTCATTAATATTTCATTTTCATGGCATTAATTGAAACCAGTTGAATTTATACTTATTTGTACTTAAAAATTATAGATATTTTGTAAAACTAAAAAAAAACCTCATATGGCTGGAGGGAGAGCCTCAATCTCATGGGCATGCCTATGTGCAAAACCTAAATACCTATAACTTTTTTTTTGTTTAACAATATTTTTGGGCTGAGAGATGAAATGAGAATATCACATCCTCTTAAATTTAGACATACCTCTATATTCTTCATCATTAGATTCAGAATCTTCATCAATTGTACTATTATCACTACTGTTATTTGTAAAAATTAAACTTTCTGGGGGTACTTCACTTTCATAATCTTCTTTTATTTTTTCAACTACTTCAATGTAGTCTAACTCTGCTAAATATTCATCACCATAATTTTTACCACCTTCATTTGCATCTGCTTCCGTTAGTAAAAATCCTACGTAAACACATATAAAACTACCCTGAGGTATATCATTAAGGCATCTAACACCCCATCCTTTTTTTTCTGTCATAAACAATTGTAATTTGTGTGATAATGGTTGTTGTACCACACGATTCAAACAGCTAGATTTACATTTGCAAGTCTTATTACATTCATAAATGCCGGTCAGAACACGTTCAGGTAATCTTCGATAATTGTAACCGATATTTGGGTCGTTGAAGATGTTGGGCAAAACATTTTGACCTTCAATCGTAATACCCCAACATGCACATTTGGTTTTATCTTGACAATTATCGGTACAATCGCATCCACATAAGAAATCACTGTCAACATTAATGTTGACGCCAGGCATAGCTTGTCTCATGGTCATATACTCCATAGGGGGAGGTAATTCATTATTTATAGAATTAATGCATGTTATTGGCCTAAATTCTTTTCCATTAGATAAATCATCTAAACATTTTTTAAAATTCAATGCTTCATATTCTGCCAGAGGTTCCACCCAGCTACAGAAATCAAACTGGTCAATTGTAAAAGCACTGTCCGTCATATTAATATATATACACATTTCATTTATACTTCGGATCATACGACCACATGGCGTTCTGTACAAAACACATCTTGATAAAACAGTATTGAAATTGCTATTTTTAAAATATGCAATATATCTTTCAAAACCATAATGCAATGGTATGGCTAACATGTTAAGTTCTTTTGTTTCCTTATAATCATATCCAGTCCATGCTACACAAGAATGTTTACAGACATGATTTGTTATTTTTTTCGGTTTAAGAGCTGTATCAGGTACTTGTCTGTAATTGATCTTAAATAAGAAAGATTCTTTTTCATTTATATTTGTATTTATAGGTACTGTGTTCTTAGTTTTCTTGCTAGTACTTTTACGAGCTACACTTCTATGAGGTACAATAGTTTTAGTAATTTCTTTTTCAGCATGTTTTACAATTTCGGGTTTTTTTACAGTTTCTAAATATTTTACTCTCTCTGAATTGTCTACATTTGAGTTTTTAACAACAGTTTTTTTCGAACATACTAGTCCAGATTGTTTTATAGAAATACTTTTTTCAGATGTATTTTGTTTTTCAAAAATGCTCCATATTCTGGAAGAACCCCGGTATAACCATTCACTTTTGTTCACATCCATAAAGAATAATTTTACTATTGATGCATCAACTTCAATGGTTTTAGCCACCATCCATTGTTGATTAAATTTGGCCCTTATTAAATGGTTATTACTTAAACTAACCATTTCACGCTTCGGATATTTTCCCAAATAACTACGTAAAAATTCTTTAAAATTATCATGTACTTCATTTAATACATTTATAGACTTGTTTGCAATTAAACGGATATCATCATGGTGCCGATATCCAACATCACCATTGTCAAAAAATACCATATATCTATAAAATACAATCAACATAAATTATACAAAATATTAAAATAATTTATCCTTAATACATCATCAAAATAATTATAATCCAGTTGTTATATACACCAAATAAACTCTCTACATAATATAGACCACATCAGAATACATTAATTGGTTATTTTTTGTAAAACTTTTTTTATTTATTCTATTATAGGTTTACTGTTTGACTGTATTAGTTTCCTAAAGGGAAAATTATTACATATTTAACTGTCCTCAAACCAAGTATTTTATTATTTTTAATTGAAAATTTAAATTAATTTTTTAGTAGTGAATTGTATATAAATCCATCTTTTGTAGCTGACTGAGACTGATAATACAAAAAGTTTACAGCTTAATAAATGTAATCAATAAAATATGGTTTAAAAATTGGTAAAAAATAAACTTTGAACATATTATATCATTACAATAAATACTTAAAAGTGTGTCATGAAGTAAAATAATGGGTCACTTATTTTCTAAATGCATCTAAAAACAATTTGTTATTAATCACGAAAAACTTCATGAGAACATAGATATAATATAATGATTTGGTTTGTTTTTAATGTGCTATAAATGTATACAAAGTCTTTCAAATTTCATGTTACAGTCATATTTTCAATGAATTAATTTTTTTTTTTAATAAATTACATAGAAATTTTTTTATCATGCATATATATTCTAAAATGTTAAATTTTCCAGATTTTTGTAGTTATTTATTATTGCTACCTACTTTTGATTTTCAGATAGCAAACTATATTAAAAATTCCATAAATATATTGAAGACTAGTTTAAATTAATTTTTGGTGTTAACATGTTTTATTTCCATCAACTCTTTTGATAGCACTCAAATGGCATAATAAAACATGTGCATGTGGCATAATGCCATTCAAATGGCAGCACAGCTCACACAAAATATGTTGCTCCACTACTCTCCCATTACTCTTACTTAAAAGCAGAAAGTTTCAACAACGTAAAAACAAAACTATACTACTGGGCCATTTTTTTTTTCAACATATAATTTTTTAACTAGTGTATTCTGCATGAAGTTGTGGTGCATGCACACCACAACTTCTTTTTTTTAAAACCATATTGGTCATATCTTAATTGGACAAATTTTTTCAAATCAGATTGATATATCAACTTATATTCTAAATTTAAAACTGACTGCATTTAAAATTATACTAGAAAAAAGATTTCTTTCAACTACAAAAACTACGAAAACTACAAGAAAAAAAATTATTTTTTCATTAGTTAAAAAAATTATATAACCGAAAAAATAATGGTCCTCCAGTAGTAGTATCTTCGAAAACCAAATTCAAAAATATGATTAAGGTACAGTTATAGTGTTAATTGTTTCCGTAGATACCTGTATATAATATATTGTATACGTAATCAATCATAGAGAATTTATCTAAAAATATGGATAACATCGCAAAAAAAAAAAAATTAATTGTAAAATTTTAGAGTTATAATTATTTTGTGACAGTTAATAATATGTACTTTTTACCAAAACAAACATAATAATAATTATATTAAATAATTAATTTTACCGAAAATTGTTGAATTGAACAGGTGGTTCAGTTATTACACCAGCATAATACTCAGATTTTGGTTTTTCATTTTTAGACAACTTGGCAATAACTCTGGAGCCTATAGGATATTGTACTGAACTTGGATCAAAGTAGGCTACTTCTTTTGTCATTAATATCATTTCATTAGTGCCAAACTTTAAGTGCAAATATTCAGTGTTTATTACAGCTTTAATTTTGCATTTATCCCATGGATCTAGTAGTGAAAGTCTTTTTCCAAACATTTGTTGTCCAACTCGTAAATCGGAATATTCTAAAGGCCCCTTATTAGGTAGACCATCTGGTTTATTGGAGATCTTTATACTATTAAGAGAATCAACAATATTGTCTTTTTCTATTCTATTTTCTTCATTATGTGTCATACCACTCATCACGTTTACATTGTTATCAACTTTCTTATTGGATTCTTGAACATGGAAGACCTCTATGACCTCAGTTGTTGGTCTATATGGCGCATATATGGAGGTTTTTACTGATTCAAATTCTGTTTCTAAATTTTTAAATTTTTTATCAATCTTGTCGGCTTGAGCTATACAATTTTTTAACATCTTTTGATGTTCATTTTCACATAATTTCCAATGTTTATCAATTATTTCCTTATTATTTTCAAAATAATAATTAAACCCCAAATTAGCCATAGCCAATAGTTTTGGATCTTTGGGTATCAAATTAAGAACTTCTTTAGGAACAGACTTATCATTTTCGTCTTCACTTGAAGATTCAATCATAAAATATGATTCAAATGATGGAAACGGTGTTTTTAAAAGACATTTACCATTATCCCATTGGACTTTGAGTTTGTTAAAATGATCCAAACAATTTTTAAAACACGTTGAGCAAACCTAAAATAAAAATTGTATAAATAATTAAATATGTCTATAAGTAAACTGAATTATGTCATAAAAATATCAAATTTAAAAATTATAGATAAAGTAAAACTAAATAAATAAAAAAACAATACATATTTGTTATTATAAAGAGTTTTAAAAATTCAGTGTATTTTGATTTAAAAATCACCATTAGTTAATGGAACAAAGGCAAAAAAATAATGTGTAAAATGATTATAGAATAATATGTAATAATAACAATGGTACTAATAAAATATTTTTTTACTTTTTGTGGTTTTATTGCTTAATGATTTTGAAAATCAAAACTGATTAGGTAAACACAAACATTTTGTAATACTCCGGACTTTATTTTGTTCTTTTTGTAATAATGTATTTATTTCTTTTGCATAAATATATGTATACATTTTTATTTTTATTTATTTATATTTTCTATACTTGATATTTAATTTTAACTATAATTGATAATCACCTCTTTCGTTCGTGTAAAGCGAACATGATAGTAATTGCACACAAAATCATAGGCTTTCATTAGGCCATCACCATGCATACAATATCTATTTACACATTGGAGGCGCTGGTTATTTATTTTTTTGCCTTTTGCGTTTTCTGTTGATGAACCATTTGATGAACCATTTGATGAAGCCATTATGTACTTAATGCAAATACTTGATTCTGAAAAGAAGACAAACACATATTATGAATATTAGCATACTTAATAATGTTGTTTTATTTGAATACATCTTATAATTACAAAAGATAATCACAGCACCACACCAAAATAAACAAACATAACAGATAGAAAAGTAAAATTAAATAAGTTAAGCACATCAATATTGTAATGATTAATTATTGAAATATTTTGGCCATAGTCATAATAATCAACAAATTAAAAACACTTACATACTTTGCACATGGGTGCAGCCACTGTTGTGGTTAGTGGAAAAAGTGGAGTACAGAAGGGAATTTAACATATATCTTTAAGCAACGATAAACCATTGCTAACCAAAAAATATTTCTGAGCAGAGTTCAGTTGATAGTGATATTTTATCAACAACATATATATATATATATATATATATATATATATCATATCATAATATGGTAAAATAATTAAATAAGCATTATATTTTTTTTTTAATATTTGTTTAATACAGTAATTTTCCTGGTTTTCCTACGTTTTACCAGGTTTACCCATGTTTTTCCCCAGTCTTTCACATTTGCTAGGGAAACTCTTGGGAAAATCGAAAAATAACCTACCTAAAGAACCTTCCAGGTCAGATTTATATTTAGAAAAAGTGATTTTCATTGTAAATAGGAATAAAATTTCTGGTACAAAAGTTGTCTACAAAAAAAAAAAAGCCACAATATTTTTTTACTAATACCTATATTTCGTACATTTAACGTTTTTCCAATATTTTATCCCTATTTTTCCCAGATTTATAAAAACCACTTAAAAAATTAAAAAAATACCTCATTGTTTTACCAGAGAGATAAAATTTCCTTTCAGAAAATGAGCTACACTTGGTACATCAGAACAAGATTTCTGGTTTATCATTACAGATATACATTAAATCTCTCCTCTACTACCTTTCCAACTTTTCACCTACAACAGTAACACATCCAAGTTTCCCGGCTTTTTTTTATAATTGTATTACAGGTATACAAGAAGCATCTAGTAGCACAGGGAGTTCCAGATATCCAAGGATCGACCTATAGAGCTCCAAATTTGTTAATACAATATTGGGAGGTTTCAGGACTCTGATGACCCAACTTCTATGTTCCCAATTAGGAATCTGATATTGGAAGCATACAGGATTTTAAGACTAGTGACGCAACTTTTTCTCCAGGTATTGGAATAAAATAAATATATATATATATATATATATATAATCAATAATATTTTTAATAAAAATTATCTAATTGTATTATGTAGTTACAATAATACAATTACTATATTTTATTTATGTGTCCAGAGCTGAACCCTAAAAAAAAACCATTAAATCAAGAAAACACTGTATACAACCAATATCATCACCTTTATAAGGAATTTTTTTCATCATCAGAAGAATATTCTCCAATTATTGGTAATATTTCAATGAATTTAATGACATTTCCTAACTCTCCTGAATTAGTATCTTTGAATAAAATAAATAAATTATGAAAAACTAATGAAAATGATAATGATAATTGAATCATAATTGAAATTAAAATGTATACTTTTATTTAAACAAATCTTTTATATAATTTTAGGATCAAATGAAAGTAAACATATGGTATTAAATGCTATACTAGAATGGAATTTAAAAATCTACAAAGACTTAAATATTTTCAAAGAAAATCAAACTAAAATACTTTCTTATTTAACCTGCAGGTTTACAAACAACTCACTAACAAATACAATTTTTGATGATACTTCCAATATAATTCTAATTACAAATAATAATTGGAAGAGGAACACGATATGAATTTAAAAGCCATATTTAAGAGAACTTTGGAATATAATATTAAATTTTATAAGAACAAAATTCAATTTAAATCTCAAAAAGTATAATTTATGGACCAAGTGTTTACTGAAAAAGGTGTGAGTGCAGATGATAATTGTATTGAAGCAATAAGTGAAATGAACTACCCTAAAAATATTGAAAATAGTGGGAGCTGTACTCGAAAAACTCAAAGTAAAGTAGAATACCCATATTATCAATAACTATTCAAGTTTAAAATAAGATTGAAAATAAATAATAAGAATTGTTGATAATTTTCCATCTTGTCTTATATACTAGTATATCATCCAACTTTATTTTAATTAATTTTATTAACTTGGGCATGGTTAGAATTTTATATATTAAAATTTTTTTAATAGTCTAATTTAATGTAATTATTTATATTGTCATCAATAAAAACTTTATGTTTATGATTATTCCTTCCTTTAAACTGTACTGTAATCATTTTATTATGGTTTTTGTAGTGAACATAATAGACAAATTGAAAAAATCTTTTCTAAAAATATATCAAGTAACCTTAAAGAAAACACATATATAAATCTCATATTAGAAATAGAAATCTGTAATTATAAATGCCCATTCACATTTAATATTTTAATAATTAATTAATAAAAAAATAATATAAACATTTGCAATTGATAAAGTTGACTCTCATTTCCACAAAGATGGTGGTCCGTGATGATACAATAATTTCAATTGTAATCATACAATTAGCAATTATCTATACCTTTGCCCTAACTCAAGATTTGTAGATAATATTATTTATTATCTATAACCATTTGATATGTTTAATATCTATGCTTTAAATTTTGATTCAAAATTATCATTAGTTTTATTATTATGTTTTATAATTATTGTCAAATAATAACAATTAAAATTTCTTTTTAAAATTATTATTTGAAATGTTTATAATTTTGTAGTAATTTCTATTAGTGTTGTATATTTTGAATTTTATTTAAACATATATAAATACCTTCTCACCATTGTCATAATGAATAAAATAACTTTAAATGATTTTAGGTTCAAGAAAGAAATATCTACTTTAAACACTACTACCAGTAATACTGTACCTAGTAAACATACATATATATATATTAAAAATCAATCAATTTTTTTATTAAATGTTAATTGTATTCATTATCTATACATCTTTAGAAATTGTTTTAGAATATAACAAGGACAACATTGACAGCTGTTTTACCAATAAAAAATAAAAGACTGAATCCAATTTATTAATTCCTTTATTCTCCCTTTCAACAGTCTCAACAGGTATTTGTTCCGCCACTTCATATTTGTTTTTTTATTGTGTCTTAAATGTGATGTAGGCTCAATGTTGTAGTGGGTATCTAAAATGTAAAAGTACCTAATTTATTTTAAAACTAAATTGAATACGAACTATGACCAGGACTGTATTCAGACCAATACTCAAGGGCGCAAATTTCAATACTACTTATGTAATATTTATCACATAATATTTGATAAATGGATATTCATATTAACGACTTATTATAGTAGAGCCTCGTTTTATTTTTATTATATGAAAAATTATTTATGTTTATGTCGGCGCGACGGTATACGTTCTTATTCCGCGGCGAATATACAATAACACTAAGTCACCAATTCATCTATTTATAAATTAACTATACATTAGTACAATGGTTTTACCAGCGGTTCGCGGCTTGCCGTTGATTGTCGCTATGTGCCTGAATTCTATTTGCTATTGAAATTGTTGCCGAGTGTCGACTAATTTTGACGTCGTAAACGTCAAATTTACGTGAGTACAACATTATGGTAATTTATTTTTCTAGCTTTTAAGCACTCGTACGAACTACAATATGTATTAAGAATAGTTAATTAATAATTAATTAATTTAAGCTAAATTGCAGAGTATTTTACAAATAAAATATTATATCACATAGTGGAGAGAACTTATAGCGTTTACATGTTTTGTTTACTGCAGTGGAGAAAATATATTTTGTAATATCAATTTCTTTTTACTAAGCTAATTCTCACACGGAGTTATATAAAGTTTTTTTTGGTGTAGGTAATAGGTAGTAATTGACACAAAATCAACAAAAAAAAAAATCAAATATTTGAATGCTAACATAATGATTTGTAAAATGGCAATAACTAATAATATGAGTTGTTAATATAATATTTATACATACATAAATTGTTGCATATCAAACAAGACGTATTCACTACAATTATGAAAAAATAACAAAAGTCCGACGACAGACACACATTAGACCACTTAAAACAAAATTATACAATTTACACAATAAAAAATACATCCTTAAACACCAGACTGGTATTCTAAACTGAACATTCACGATGGAAGCCGCGTTTTTGTGAGTGTGGATATTCATTCAGGGCTGTGGGAGGACCCGGACAGTGATAAGAACACGCACGGCATTTGTCCGATTACTCAATCAGAATGACCAAGTGATGGCCATATTTTAAACGTGAAACGGGGTCCTTTCAGTGTAACCATAATAAGAAAAATAAATTATTATACTATATACATTGTGCAATGTGTATGGATTATATACTACCATGATCAAAGTGGATATTAAAGTATTATATAGAAGTGTAAATATTTCGCTTAAAAATTGATTGCGCTGTCTACCCAATGAGGGTTTATATTATGATAGGGTGTATTATGATTGAAACATTAAATTTAAATGATAAAATACATAGATTTTTTTTAGCATAAATACATCTTCAATTTTATAATTAATCGTTAATCTAATACTGCTGTTTTCGTTTTTTTGTTTTTGAGTTCTTGCACACACAATACAGCTGACCATAATGACAGAAATACTTAAAAGAACAAAAAAAAAATAACTAATTAGGACTAAGGAGTTTTGGGAAGTTAGGAGAATATAGGAGTACCTATTTACTACTTAGGACTTAACCAACTTAAATTATGTACGTTAATATGTCTATGAGAATTAAAAATAGATATTTAAGTATTTATTATCATTTTATTACACTGTCAGTAACGCCATCTAGTGTTTATTTGAGTTGTAATAGGTGTACAATGGCGTTCAATTTTACTTCGGTAATCATATTAATGATTCATGCATAATGCCGTCTCCATAGTTTAATTACTCTCAAATGACCACTATAAAATTCTTATCAC